TACAGGGGTACCTCAGTTTAAGAGTTTAATTCGTTCCTGGAGACGGCTCGTATTCCGAAGCTAATTTCCCCATAAAAAATAATGGGAAATGAAGTAATCCGTTCCTGACTACCCCAAAAACCCCACATCAAACTAAATTTTTATACCTTATTCATCTAAATAAACCTACAAAACTATGTTCAAGTTATTACTTACCCTTGCTGAGGACTGCTGTTGGTGTATAGAAGATGTGAGGAGGGAGGAGGAGAGGTGTTACTGTTTGGAAGGGGAGTCTCCTTCCATTATAACATCAGGCAGTAAGGACTTCACTGGTATGCACACACTGGCACATTTTGCCTGCATACCACTAGCACTTGCTTGTTTTACTAAGAATCTGTCTAAAGACACTTGTTTTTCCCTACATTTTAACACTTGTCTGTATTAAGACATCACATTGTCATTTAAAAGGTCAATGCAACGGCCTGCTACAGCTTTATCTGGGTGAGTTTTTTCAACAAAACTTTGCAGTTCTTCCCATACTTCACACATTTTCTTAATCAAGAAGGGACATCCTCTACTGCCTCTACTCACAGCTATTTTCTTAGGTTGAACCTTACCAATGGCTTTCTTGAGACCCATGGCAAGATATATAATGACAACTTTTATGCTCAAATGGCCAAAAAACCGACAAAAACTGTAAATCCTTGTGAAGAATTCAGGTGGGATAGTCACTGGACGCAAGACACTGGTAAACTGAGGCGCGATCGCTGTGCCACCATGCGCTAGTCGGCCTGTACACGTATCAACAAACTCGTGTTCCGAGGTAACCCTCACCTTCCGAGACATTTTCCGAGGAAATTCTGCTCGTATTCCGAAAAACTCGCATACAGGGACACTCGTGTTCCGAGGTACCACTGTATTTACTTTCTTATTTTAAATTTATCTTTCCCTATCAAGAGTTTGAAATCTAGTTATTCAGACTCTATATTTTGATTGACTTCTAGCATCTTGTGGCCATTATCAAGTTGGTAAATTAACTTAAATTCATCTCCATTTTCACATTACAATAATAATAATAATAATAATAATAATAATAATAATAATATTAATAATAAAATGAAGAGCAAGACCTTGAAAATATATGAGTACTTGGTAAGCAATCATAACTTGGTAAGGAAGCATGCCAATACAAATCAATTATGGTAGCAAGAAAGGATACAACTCTGAGTCCACGTTCTATAGGGTTGGTGATAAGTAGACCACGAGGAGTCCATGCACGTTCATTCTGTTCTGCTACATACTTAGTCACTTTTTTCATCATCTGAAATAAAAGAAATATTTCAATATTAAAAAATTTTATGGTGTCAAATTTCACTCAAATGGAAATATACTCCAACTACTTATCTTCAGCATTATAACTGCCCCAGTACGACATCTTGCTAATAATAAATGACATATTACATATGTCATTTACAGATACAGTAATGATACAGTAATGACACAGTAATGACAGCAGATACAGTAATGTGATAATTGACATCACCACCACTCAATTGATTTGTGGCTTAGCATTTTTATGTTTTTGTGTATACAAAAATATATGTATTTAGAGTTAGTATTAACTGACAATAGTTGTATAATAGTTTCCTTTGGGCATCAAGTTTATATATACAATCATTAATCAAACCAAACAAATGAAATTCTAGACATTTTTCATGGAGCTTGTATGGGAGGGAGGGAACCACTCTCACCTCAGTCATACCAGCAGGCAGCTTACACTCCAAGCACTGATAATCAATATTCACTCAAATGGAAATATATCCCAAATTTTAATTACAAACTTCAGCACTATGATTGTTTCAGTAAACAATCTTGCTAATAAATGAGAGAAATTACAGTGCAGATAGTATAACAATTGACAGCAACATCTCAGACCAAGCCAACCAACCAGCAATGATGTTTGACCACATGTACTGACTGTTGGCTTGGTAAGGTAAGGTAAGGTAATTATCAAAAGAAGGCAACTGTTGGCTTGGAAGCATTTTATATATATATATATATATATATATATATTGTATATGATTTTAAATTATTATTGACTGAAAATAATATATGCATAATAGTGTGTTGTACTTTAGTATTTTTGCTAAACTTCCTTTGGGTAAAAATGATCATCATTAACATACTGAAGCTTAATAATACTGTATTCACTTTTGGCTATTCTGTGCGTATTGTTTTAAATATTAGAACTGTATTTTTATAATATAATTTGTAAAAATATTATGTTGTACTGTATTTAAGTTTTATTAAAAGTTTTCAAGCACTGTAAAATTGCTTACACTTCGATTAGGTGGATCATGAATGATAACACACCCGCATTCTGATACTCAGCCTCAGCGACAGCTTGGACAAACAATCCTCAATTGAACATTTGTATGTTCCACTTAACAATTTGTACCAAATACAATTTGTTCCAACTAACCGGGAATTCATTAGAGCCAGGTTAGAGTGAAGATGCACTTCTTTTGCAAGTTCATAATCAAGAGAGAGATTATTAAGCAGTTGAAGCGTAAAAAATAATATTCGGAGACTCTGAAGTTTGAAATGTAAGGAAATTAATTCTCAACTTTACAGATGAATTAATTTTAACATAATAGTGTTTCTAACTGTAAAACTTTGAAACCAGAAATACATATTTATTTTCTAAATACTAAATTTATGAAAAACTGATCTACACACACACACACACAATGACAATATTGAACTCTGAAAAAGTTAAAATAAGGCATACCAACCTGTTCATAGTGTGTCTCCATGCAAAAAAATACGAGGTACGCCGTTAGACATCCAAGACAACCTTCGCAGTAACGGCCACAAGACATCTTCTCAGCCTCAACAAACATACCATTGATGTCATTGATTGTATTTACAAACACTGATTTTTCAATCTGTTAAAACGAAATAAAACATTATCAAATTTTGAGTGAGAAGAAACCCTTAGCTTAATATTGTGTAAGGAAATGTATGCACAAGAGCACTGTACTGCATTCTGATAAAAATAAATTTGTCCTCTTGTTCAACAAAATGCATCCATACATAAGGGAGGGAACCACCACTCCTTCATACAGTTTGCTGGATACATTTCTTCCAATCTTTTTCTTTCTAACCAGGGCTTTCATTACACTGGATAATTTCCTTCCCCAATTCACTCTAAACTTTATTTACACAAATTCCTCATTTATCAGCCAGACATTCCAAGTACTAAAAACTAGCCAACCACTTCAACATTCCCACCTTTGTGAGACCAAAATAGGAATATACAGCAGTTCTATGGTGCCCCATATCTCAAGAAGCATGTCAATAAACTGAAAAATATGCAGATATCCTATGAAATGGCTTCCAGAACTGAAAAACAAGATCTATGAAGAGGCTTAGATTTTTAAATATGCCAAAGCTAGACGGTAGAAGAAAAAGAGGCAATATGATCACTACATACATAAATTGTAACAGAAATTGATAAAAATTAACAAAGAGAAACTCTTGAAACATGCAACTTCAAGAACACGAGGTCATTAATTCAAGCTAAGAAAACAAAAATGGTGATGAAAAAATATTGGAAAGTTTTCTTGTGCAAACAAAGTGGTAGACGGTTGGAACAACAAGCAAGGCAGTGGTGGAAACCAAAACCGTTATTAATTTCAAAGCATCATATGACAGTACAGTACTGGAAAAACGGGACACCACGAGCATAGTTCTCATCCTGCAACTACACTCAAGTAATTACTAATTTCATACACCTAATTCCCTTCCATCGTCATCAATTGTACTTTTGTCCACATTCAATTTAGTATTTTTCACATTCGCTAAATGTTTCAACTAATCTCCATAATTCTATCATTCTCTGCTAAAACAACTAAGAGGATAGATACTGGTGTGGTATGAACAACAAGTTCAAGAAAGCAAGCAGTAGCAGAATGTAACATTATGGTTGTTAATGGCAAAGCTAACAAATACATTGAGGCTTTTTGTTTTTCCCAAGATCTTAAACACCTCTGTGTGAGTTACCTCATTTAAAAAGGTACCCAAGTCTCTCACCATCTCCTCATGATGATCTCCTTACTTCAGTAATTGTTGTATAATTAAAAGGGAAGGCAGAGCCCCTTTTTAAAATGTTAACAATCAGAATCTTTGGGATGCAGAGAATCATGCTGTTTTGTCAAGTAGGAAGACAACAGTCACTCCTAGAATACAATTGCATTTGGAGTGCTACTAACCAACAACTATATCTGGGGTAGGAAAAATTAGAAAAAACAGCAGTAGAGGTGACTTTGGGAGAGAACCAATAAGAAACCAAGTGTGCGCACATTTATTTAATATAAAACTACTGAATGTAATGAATCACCTCTTTCTGGTGGATCCATGGAGGCTCTGGTGCTTGCAATCGAAATAGTTCCACACCATTCAATTCACATATCAGGCCCTTATAGGGCCAGAGGGAACCAGAGGCCAAAACAGACCCCTTGATAGAAGGAAAGGGTGCCAAAGATACAAGAATTGACATCCAGTCCTAAATGTTAATTAACGATGTCAAAAGAAAAAATTATTTTTTTGGAACAATTAATTTTATTGTGCACCATCAGGATCCAGCCCTTTAAATCTGATTTTTGAAAGGAATGCTCATGACATCGAATGAACCAGGGAAAATTCGGTGGTCAAATTTGGTCTGTATTTCAGAGGGATCAGTTAGAGGAAGGTTAAGATTTGGAAGGTGCCACTGTATACAGGAACAAGTATTTCATTAATTCAGAAGAAACGTATTCACCATTGATTGAAGGTTCTAGGCACAAAGATGTGTACAGTACATTCATTTTATGTGAGGGTTTTTCTTGAGGACATACCTCGTGCAGATCGAAAGAAAACTGTAATCATGAAATTTACAGCTAATTACACATCTATTAAATTTTCTTGTGAGGCTAATCAAGAGAAATATTGGCTCAAACTAAAGCAAAGACAATCTTACTAACTTTTCCTTCAAGTTCAGTAGGATAATTTGTCTGAAATTTTACTGAGGTTCCTTCAGAATAATCTCGTTGAATGAAAACCTTGAGACACCCAGCTGACCGAGACCCAGCCAAGTCTTCCAAAGGCGTCCCATGATTCTGCAAAGGAAAGAGAAACTTCAAAGTACTGCAGTAATTACTGCTTTATTACATTTCATAGCCCATACTGAATTACTCTAATTCAGTATGGGGCTGAATTAGATTAATTACTAATTACTAATTGGTAATTAGTAATTACTCATGGATGCATTTATTCCAATTTCATGTCAAGTACAGTAAACTGGCTCAGTAAATGATTTGATATTTTTGTAATAGTAATAAACTGTAATAAAAATGCTTTAAAATCTTGTACTGTATCACATACAGCAAAACGCTTTCTAGATGTGTCTTGTATATTATAGCTAGTGCAGTAATATTCTTAGCTTTGTTTTCTTAATTCGCCATTTACTATTTCAGTTACATGGAATAATTGGGCAAAAGAGCAAAAATATGGAGAACTCTGACTACTCTCGGAACAGGAAACCAAAATGATTACGAGTTCATTCTGATATGCACCTACATACAACTAAATACTGTACAGTACCTTTACAAATCCCACAAATAAGGTAGTAAGTATTGGTGTCTTATTACTCTCATAATCTGACGTTTTCATTGAAGAAAATGGAATCGAGGGCTTCAGAAGGTCAATTTAATCCTTGGAGGGGTGTAAATCATTTAGTATATGATAATATAGTATAAATCATATAGTATATGATTTAGATATTTAAAATAGTCCTGCACAAACACCGGGCTAACATTTGTCTCCTCAGGCGTTCAGAAACCATACACCAACTTGAAAAAAATCCAGTCCCTCACTTTCCATCTAAGGGCCTTAATAAAAAATAATGAAGACCATTGTTGGTAACATCACCATCCAGTGTCTGAACATTTAGGGCAGCCATAGAGACACTAAACTTTTAACAACAGCAAATGAGTGATTACCATGTTGGCCAAACCACACACTAGAAACTGAAGATACAACAACGTTTTGGTCCATCCTGGACCATTATCAAGTCAATTATAGACCTGATAATGGACTTCTTCGATTATCAACAATCAACTTAATAGTGGTCCGGGGTGGACCGAAACATCGTCGTCTCTTCAGTTTCTAGTGTGTGGTTTGGTCAACATTTCTTCAGACATATTATTGTGACTCATCTGCAGTGATTACCATGTACTTTTATGTATTTCAGGCAAAATGTGTGCCATGTGCAATTTTAAGATTTTATAGAGGCTTATATATATACAATATTACAGAAGAATGAATAAATACATGGTGTCTATATTTATACTCATATTGTATCCCTATAAAAATTTCCCCTCACAACAAACATGTTGAATAGTTTCAGAAATCTGCACTTGAGTAGGTTATCTTATATAATGATTGATATGGCCTCATAACAAACCATTAGTTAACCTCATTACATTCGTCATGAACTTTACAGCTATCAAGGCCCGAGAGGCCCGAGACTGTTCAACACGCTTCCACTACACATAAGGGGCATAACTGGCAAACCCCTCACAGTGTTCAAGAGAGAACTGGATAAGCACCTCCAAAGGATACCTGATCAACCAGGCTGTGACTCATACGTCAGGCTGCGAGCAGCCGCGTCTAACAGCCTGGTTGATCAGTCCAGCAACCAGGAGGCCTGGTCGACGACCGGGCCGCGGGGACACTAAGCCCCGGAAGCACCTCAAGGTAACCTCAAGGTAGGTATCAGGATGAATTGCTCCATCAGGATGAATTGCTCCTTTTTAACACGCCCCTTCCAACTGGCTACATATTACTGGACTTTGTATGAGTATGATTAGGCTAAGCTATGTTATGTCTAGTTAGATTACAGCTAGGAAAGATTAACTGTATAACTTATTATTGATTAATTATAGACTGTATAATTAGATAAGATAGGTGAATCATTCTGGGTAGTGTTATGTACTAATGTGATGTGAACAGAAGCTTGAATGCCTCATTTTGAGAAGAGCTCAAATCGTCATAGGTGGCAATTTTTTTATAAACATGGTGACTGACAATTTCACTGGATTTAGGTTTGCTATAAGATTGAGCTGTAAATAAGAGCTCTCCTAATCACTGCCTCCCAGTAACAACCAACAATGAAAAATAATTATCAGTTATTGAACAATTTATCCCAATAAGTAGCGATACACACCCACGCTTGACTCAGCTTATGATAGTACAAGCTCTCCAGGTTTTAACTCAATGCATCAAAATGAAATTCACGAGTCTGTATAATAATTAAACTTTACAGCAAGAGGATTAAACTCACCTCATCATGTGATGACTGAAAGATCATGTAGAATGCAAGACAAACATTCATTCACATTGATATTTCATTGATGTTTACTTCCGAGGAACATAATACTAAACAAAATATTTTGCAAAACTGCCCTGTATTGTCAAGGGCATTTATATTACTCCATTGTGTAGACATGGAGCAACAGGGCAGTGCCAGCTTCAGCAAGAGAAATACAATTAAAAAAAACACAATTAAACAGAATGCAGCCCAAAATATATGGTCAAACACTGCTAATATAAGTGGTACCAAAGTGTATCATTAGACCACCTCTCATCCATACCACAGTCGAGACAAAAAGAAGGTCGCTCACCACAGACATAGTGGCGGGTGTTGACCAACCGCCACACAGGCCTCCCTCAACACCTGCAACAACTGTGGGTTGGGGCGGGGCGGCCCAGGCTGACACAAGTGGGTTGGGTCACCAACAGTTCTCTTCCTCAATCTTCACTTCCTGGGTCAAACGTCTTGGGCGTTTTAGTCTCTTTACATACCACTAACTAAGTTAAAATTTGATACAAAAATCTAGATACACCACACTTTTCCCCTCGTCTATAAATGATGAGCTAAAGACGAGCGATTTCCGAAATAATTAAGAAAATACTACGGAATTACGTGTTTGTTTACCGTGGTTGACGCCATCTTGAATAATATTAAGGATTTCGCATGTAAAACCTGAGAAAATTAACATCCAAGGGACAATGAATACAAAGTTAGAACTCTGTGAACACCAAGTATATACTTACTTGTAATTATTTGAGGCAGGCTTATGTTAGTACAGGCAATGGAGATTAATTGATACATTTTAACGGAGCTACTAGCATTCACAACGTAATTTTGACAAGTAAAAATATTGCACAAGTTTGACTAACATTATTCCACTTTTCTGTATTACTCGAGCATTTACCTAATTTTTTAAAACTAAGACTAGGGGGTCATTAGGAAAGTCATTGGAGATCCTAGTGAAACTGCAACGTAAGAGATTATCCTTCATCAGCTCATCTGCTGAAGCTTGACCTAAGAAACTCATTTATATGATGAGCTTATTATATGTTTTAAGTAAATTCAGGTTTAAATTGCGAATATTTATTTAGTGTTAAGTTAGTAAGTTACAATCATGTCAGTAACAGGATAAAGCTAGAGCCAACTGTGTACCAGCGGAACCTTCGTGTATCTTTAGATTTTAGGTTCACTGGATTTTGAGTATATCAACGTGTTGTGGTTGCCAACTTCTGGTTGTCCACAATGGGAAATCTTGAGAACATTGGCCTTATACATAACAGGACGACCGCCAACATTTCTCCGGTGTTTAGGGCTCTGTTGTACTGACTAACTGGGTCATGACTAGAGATAAGTCGTCTCGCTTCACGTCCTTTATTAGGTTAAATACTTGGAACAGGCCACCCGAGAAAGTGATGGCCGCTCAAGATTGGAGCGAACTTGTGCTAATATAAGGTTTTGTAACCCCTGCTGTAGAGAATACATGAAATGCTTCTTAGGGTTGTAATTTTCTTGCTTGGTTCAACAAAGTGGAGAGAATGAATAATCCTGTTATTTCAATGTTTATGGAGGGTTGTTCTGCCTTTATGTGTAAGGCTTCAAGAATTTGTAATCGCCCTACATCTTGGGCTTTATCTAATATACAAGTGTTTTATTCAGTATTTCTCTTGTTAGTGATGTGATGGTCTTCTCTCATGTGATTTTTAGGGGCACTAGATTAAAGATGACAGGTTAAACGCCTCACGAGCCTGGTCGATGTCATAAATTGAAGGTTATCCACCTTCATGGGGGCAGGTGTATCACATTCGATTGCTACAAAGGGTTCTCGTTTGGCTTCGAGCTGTTTTTAATGAAGAGATCGGTCTGAATAGAGCAACGTGAGTAGGGAGTTTGAAAATTAATAAGAACTAAGTTGATTTTCATACTGGTTGAGGGCCACAGGACTCACAACACTACACACCAAACATGACAGGGCTGATCTTATCGAATTTACTTATACATACAATACTTATAACATACAAGACGGTATATTGGGTTGTGAGAGTACATACCATTTGGTTTTATATTCTTGCAAGGCCACTAATACGCATAGAGTTCCAGCTAGGCAACAAGTATTGTAATTGAGTGAGTGGGTAGCACAAGATAACAGTGTGAGTTTGAAGCACAAGGTAGGAAACTATGACGATGAAATTAGGTACTTTAAGGAATTTTTTAAATCCTGACAAATTTGGAGGATATTGATTCAGATAACTTCCTTAAAAGGTCAAATGTAACGCAGACAAGGAGCAACGGCTTCACTGTCAGCAAGCCACAATGTACTCACCTAGTTGTGCTTGCTGGAGGGTTGAGCTTTGGCTCTTTGGTCCCGACTCTTAACTGCCAATCAACTATAGGACAGAAAACAGGAGACGCTTTTTTTACCCACTGTTATAAACCCATGGAACTCCCTACAGAAGCCTTAAATGCCAAAAGACGGCTGAATTTACAACTTCAGCTCGATAAAACCATCAGAACAAATTTATTTATTTATTTACATACAAGAGGGTATATTGGGTTTGTGAGAGTACATAGCATTGATGTTTTTAATCCTTGTAAAGCCATGGGTAATTTGTAGCAAAATTGAGAAATGTTAACAGGTACATTGCAAGAAAATTTGACTCAGATTAGTAGGTACATTATAATAAAATTTGAGGATTATCAACAGGTACATTGTAGTGTAATTTAAGGATTATTTCTAGGTATAATGTAAAATATGCGTTCAATATAATAACCATGAATAAGATGATAGCAGTGATTACAATGGTGAAGTTGAATGGCTTAGGTACATATATTGGGGGCTTGAGTAACACAAGACACAGTGCGAGCTTAGTGCACTAGACAGGAAACTATGAGGATGAAATTAGGCACCCCCTGGTTTTATTTTTGAACATAGGGAAAACCTTTAACAAGCCGCCGACTTCCTGTTCTCATGGATCCCACTAGAGAGATAATAGACATAAGGTAAATTCAGGTAATGTATGTATTTATGTACCCTTCTTAAATTATTATTAAGTGGCCAGTTAATGAGTGAGTTAAGGGGCGAGTTAATGAGTGAATCGAGAGGCGAATCAAGGGATGAGTTAGGAGGCGAACCAAGGGATGAGTTAGGAGGCGAACCAAGGGATGAGTTAGGGGACGAACCAAGAAATGAGTTAGGAGGCGAACCAAGGGATGAGTTAGGAGGCAAACCAAGGGATGAGTTAGAAGGCAAACCAAGGGATGAGTTAGGAGGCGAACCAAGGGATGAGTTAGGAGGCGAACCAAGGGATGAGTTAGGAGGCAAACCAAGGGATGAGTTAGGAGGCGAACCAAGGGATGAGTTAGGAGGTGAACCAAGGGATGAGTTAGGATGCGAACCAAGGGATGAGTTAGGAGGCAAACCAAGGGATGAGTTAGGGGGCGAACCAAGGGATGAGTTAGGAGGTGAACCAAGGGATGACTTAGGAGGCGAACCAAGGGATGAGTTAGGATGCGAACCAAGGGATGAGTTAGGAGGCAAACCAAGGGATGAGTTAGGAGGCGAACCAAGGGATGAGTTAGGAGGCGAACCAAGGGATGAGTTAGGGGGCGAACCAAGGGATGAGTTAGGAGGCAAACCAAGGGATGAGTTAGGGGGCGAACCAAGGGATGAGTTAGGAGGTGAACCAAGGGATGACTTAGGGGGCGAACCAAGGGATGAGTTTGGAGGCGAACCAAGGGATGAGTTAGGAGGTGAACCAAGGGATGAGTTAGGGGGCGAACCAAGGGATGAGTTAGGAGGCGAACCAAGGGATGAGTTAGGAGGCGAACCAAGGGATGAGTTAGGAGGCGAACCAAGGGATGACTTAGGAGGCGAACCAAGGGATGAGTTAGGAGGTGAACCAAGGGATGACTTAGGGGGAGGACCAAGGGATGAGTTAGGAGGCAAATCAAGGGGGTGAGTTAGGTGATCCAAAGGGTGAGTTAGGAGGCGAACCAAGGGATGAGTTAGAAGGCGAATCAAGGGGTGAGTTAGGCGAACCAAGGGGTGAGTTAGGCGAACCAAGGGATGAGTTAGGAGGACGAAAGGAGCGGTGAGTAAAGTGGTGGATTTAAGGCCTTGCACCCGTCAAGGCCAGAGAGGGAGGGTGGGAGCCGCAGTACTCTAGTGACTACTGGTGCAGGCGGCGACCACCACGGCCTCTCCCTGTAGTGTTGTAGCGGCCTCCTGTCTCTCCTCACACCTGTCTTAAGACTGTAGACAGTCGCCAGTGTGAGTACCTGGTCGGTGGAGGGTGTTAAAGCTGTTGTGTGTGTCGGGTGGATGAGGTGAGCAACAGTCAGGTGGTGGTGACTGTTGACAGCCAGCCCAGCTGATGACATCTCCGTACGTGTATAATCCACTCGGTAACGTTGGTCATAACTGTGAATTAGTGAGAGTTACTGTTCCAGCAGGCAGGAGTGGCGTGTGGTAGTGGAGACGGGTGTACAGGACGGGGTGTACAGGGCCTGGACGGGGTGTACAGGGCCTGGACGGGGTGTACAGGATCTGGACGGGTGCACAGGACCCGGGACCGGTCATATAGCTACAGGTTTTTCTCAGTGTTCGTTCTATTCACAATAGTGTTTCGTCCATAGGAAGTCTTTCGTACATACCTGTATTAATTTGTGTTGGCTCCTGTTCTCTTCTAAGACAACAGAGTTTCTTAAATCACTATAATTTATACTGATAGTAAGATAATGGGAATCATCATATCGCGTATTTTACCAGAATTTACTTGAGGGCCACTAACACTCGTGGCCTTTAACGACTACTTTGGGTTAAAACCAAAGCTGGGAACATTTATTTATTTATTTATTTATTTATTTATTTATTTATTTATTTATTTATTTATTTATTTATTTATTTATTTATATATTTATATATAATGAAATACCATCTATGATATATAAGAGTGCTGCCCCTGTTCTTGCACTACTCATAGCTCTGCTGTTCAACAAATCTCTAGTGTCATACTTTTCCTGATAGCCTTAAAAAAAAGCAAGAGTGACACTAGTTCATAAAGGAGGTGAGACAGCTGACATAAACAATTATAAACCAATATCAAATCTACTTATACTTTCAAAGATATTTGAAAAAAATATTTATAAACAGCTCTATTCTTACTTTGTAAAACTCAACATATTCAGTCTCTGCCAGTTTGGCTTCCATTCCCCAAAAAATACTAATGTTGCCATTATTAGTCTGCTTAATATAATCTACTCAGCCCTTGACAAAAATGAGTTCCCAATTGACCTCTTCATTGACCTGCCAGTATACACTTGTATACTGGCATATACATACATACAGTATACACTTCCTCAGCTCTATTCTTATGTGAATTGCCTCTTGAGGCAATTCACATAAGAATAGAGCGACCTACCATGAACTTCATTGTATTATCACCTGACCTAATGCGGGTATAAAATCAACTAGTATTGTAAGATCTGTTCACTTGAGAATGAACCATGGAGGTTCGAAACGTCGTGCAAATTATACAAATAAGTGTAATACACTCTATAGTAAATCACTTCTTTTCTTCACCTTAAAAGTACGAAAATGAGTTTTGGAGAACTCCTATTTCAATTAAGCCCTGATGCTAAGAAAATAGTTAGAGGGATAGAAGCCCTAAACCAGAAAATAATAAATACAGAATATGCGGTCATATTCAATGAAACATATATTTCATTGAATTTCTGGGTTTGCTATCCCGGAGCTGGCATTGGTGATATTATAAACAACATGAATGATATTATGGCTGGTAATGGGAACAATCCCATTATTTGCATTAGCGTGGGAGGAAATGATGTTGGTCGAGTCAGGAGTGAGGAACTGATTCAGAGGTATAAAACAGCCATAGAGTTAGTTAGGAGCAAGGGAGGAATCCCGATCATATGTGGCATTCTTCCAAGAAAGGGAGTGGGAAATGAATGGATATCGAGGGCACTTGGTGTCAATTGCCGGCTGGAAAGATATTGCAAATCAAATGCAATATCTTTCATAGACAACTGGGAACACTTCTATGGAAGAAATGAAATGTATGCTCGTGATGGGGTGCATCTATCGAGAGCTGGGTTGTTGCTGTTGCGAACTCGCTAGAAGAAGTGGTTAGAGGTGTTTGTTTGGGTTTAAACTGTTAGTAGATAGAGGTATGGGAATTGATTTGGAGGAAGGAGGTAATAAAAGTATGTGTTTGTGGGAGAAAGGAATTGGCAAAACGATCAGGGAAAGAGAAGGTCCGCAAAATAACAATTCACTTAGGGTATATTACACTAACAGTAGAAGCCTAAGAAATAAAATTAACGAATTAAATGCTCTTGTCTGCACAGAAAAAATAGATATTATTGCACTTACCGAAACGTGGATGAATGTAGAAAATAGAGAACTATTAGCTGAATATCAAATATATGGATTTAAACTATTTCACACAGATAGATATATTAGACGAGGAGGTGGAGTAGCCATATATGTTAGGGACAATTTGAAATGTAGTCTCAAAGAGGGAATCAAAACAGAGCCACACACAGAAACTATTTGGATTGAATTAAACGAAAAAGCTAATAATATTATAATAGGAGTAATATATAGGCCACCAAATTTAGACAGAATGGAAGCAAAGCATCTATGGGATGAAATATCTAGAGCATCTAGATCTAACAGTATTTATGTCATGGGTGACTTTAATTTTAGCGGAATAAACTGGTTGAACAAAACAGGGAATAGTGAAGCAGAAGATTTTCTAGAATTAATTGACGATTGCTTTCTTACGCAACACATTAAGGAACCAACACGGGAAAATAATATTTTAGATTTAGTGTTAACTAACAGGGAAACGCAAATTAATGACATCGAAATAGGGAGTGAGCTAGGGAGCAGTGATCACAAAGAAATCAGATTTAGCATAGAATGGAATAGACCAGTAGGAGAAATTCTGTTAAAGTGCCAGATTTTCGAAAAGCTGATTTAATAGCCTAAGAAATTTTTTGGGTCAAATTGATTGGAAAGGCTTGGGTATGGGGTGTGGGCCGGTCTTGGAGCGAGACATGAACCCAGCGATAGGTGACTTAAATGGGGATTTCGATGTGGATTCAATATATAACTTATTTAAGAATATTCTAAACAAAGCACAGGAACGTAGTATACCATACAAATTGAATAGATCGTATACTAATGACCCAAAGTGGATAACAAAGAATTTGAAGAACCTTATAGGTAAAAAGAGAGCTTGGTACAAAAGGATTAAAAATGGGGAGGTCACTTTAGAACAGGAATTCGTACAACTGGTTAGAAATGTTAAAAAAGAGATAAGGAAAGCAAAAAGAAACTATGAAGTTCGCATAGCAGGGCAAGCAAAGACAAATCCTAAAGGGTTTTTTCAGTTATATCGTACTAAGACTAGGGAAAGGATAGGTCCATTAAAAACTGAGACAGGTCAAATAACAGATAGTGATGAAGAGATGAGTAGTATTTTTAATAAATATTTGTATCTGTATTTACTAAAGAGGAACTTAACAATATGCCTTCAGCCGAACAAGTCTATGTGGGTGGGGACGAGGACAGGTTGATGAGTTTAGCAGTTACCAGGGAGGATGTTCTTAAACAAATAGTAAAACTCAAACCAAACAAATCCCCAGGGCCGGATGAAGTGTTTGCTAGGGTGCTTAAAGAATGCAAAGAGGAGCTTTGTGACCCACTGTCAACCATATTTAATAAATCAATAGAGTCAGGCAGAGTGCCAGAGTTTTGGAAAGTTGCTAATGTGATACCAGTTTTTAAGAAAGGAGATAGATCACTTGCGTCTAACTATCGACCAATTAGCCTAACGTCTATTGTGGGAAAGTTACTCGAATCTATAATAGCAAATAAAATTCGTCTTCATCTTGAAAAACATAAATTAATAATTGAGTCGCAACATGGTTTTATAAATGGCCGTTCATGTTTAACAAATTTGTTATCTTTTTATTCAAGCATTGTTGAGGCAGTTGATAGTGGTAAGGATTGCGATGTTGTATACCTTGACTTTAGCAAAGCTTTTGATACAGTGCCACATGAAAGACTGATTAAAAAAATAGAGTCTCATGGTATTGGGGGTGCTATATTAAGCTGGATTAGGGCATGGCTATACCAAAGGAAACAGAGAGTTAGTATAAATGGAATCAAGTCAGAGTGGGAAAATGTTGTAAGTGGAGTGCCTCAAGGCTCTGTCCTGGGACCTCTGTTGTTTATAATATATATAAATGATTTAGATTCAGGTTTGAGTAGCAACATTTGCAAATTTGCCGATGATACGAAAATCGGTAGGGAAATTAATTCGGAGGAGGACTCACTATCACTTCAAGTTGATCTAGATAGGGTTTTGAAATGGTCAAAGGATTGGCAGATGCAGTTTAATGCTGATAAATGTAAAGTTCTGAGGTTAGGTAATGATGATAGAGTTACAAGATACGAGCTAGATGGTGTTGTGATTGCGAAGTCGGATTGCGAAAGGGATCTGGGAGTTATGATTAGTAAGAATTTAAAACAAAAGGATCAATGCATAAATGTTCGTAATAAGGCAAATCGGACACTTGGATTTATTAATCGCAGCGTTAGTAACAAGACACCTGGTGTGGTTCTCAAGCTATATCTTGCTCTAGTTAGGCCCCATTTAGATTATGCAGTTCAGTTTTGGTCGCCATATTATAGAATGGATATAAATTCACTTGAACGTGTCCAGCGTAGGATGACTAAGTTAATTCCCCAAATTAGAAATCTTTCATATGAAGAAAGATTAACAAAGCTTAAGTTGCATTCACTGGAAAGGCGAAGAGTTAGGGGTGACATGATAGAGGTTTACAAGTGGATGAATGGACATAACCGGGGGGATATTAATAGGGTATTAAAAGTATCAGCAGTAGCAGGAGTAGCCGGAATAGGAGCTTG